CGGGGGGGACGGAGGGGACGGGGGGGCGGTGGGGGTGAGGCCTCAAAGCATTGGATTAGAGCTAATGTGCCCTCCCTGGGTTCTAATCTCTTCAGAGGGGGACTTTGTTTGAGGGGCTGGAGGGCAGTAAGATAAGTATCTATTACAGAAACTCCCCCTTAACACCCCCCACACCCCTACAACAATCCTGTTTCAAAAAAAATGAGGCTCAAAAACACTTGCCCCTGTCCCCCTCTGTGCTGTGTGATATCACAGACCCAAGAGCAAGTGCTGCCCTTTTCAGCTAATCAGGAATTAGGCTTTAAAGCTGTATTTAGTGTGAGCAGGGCCCATATTTACTCCATCTGGAGCCCGCAAAGTCAGGGAGTTAAAAAGAAGATCAAAGGCAGCCCCCGAAAATTCTGCTTAGTTTGTAAAAAAAAAAAAAAAAGTCAGGAAAGAGAAAGTGAGTTTTGAGCAAAAAGTGGAAGAAACGTCGTCAGGTGCAGAAATCACGAGTGATGTCCTTTATAGGAACTTCAGTTTAATATGAAAAATAACTTCATGTTATAAATAGTGTGCAAATAATGAAACAGAGGCTGCTGGTCTGGACTGAAATATACATGGTAGTATAAGAGTCTACTTAACAGGTATAATAAAAAAACAAAAGTATTTTAAAACAAACAGTATATATTCCACATTATATGTGTATATATGTATACATACATATATATATGCACACATACATTTATATAAAAACAGCTTAGGGATATAACCTATATTAGATGTGGTTTTATTTTCCAAAAATACTGTAACTAACAACTACAGTGAGACAAAACTAGTCAGAAAATTAAAAAAAGAAATTACCTAATTTTGTATGAATTATAATCACAATATTGATATAGGGGGAAAAAAAGGAATAAAACATTTGGCTAATTTTTTGATATTATTTGATATATTTTTTTATGATATCTGATGGTAAATAAAGGAATAAAACATTTGGCTTATTTTTAAAATCACCTTTTTTATGATATCTGATGGTAAATAAAAATCCAAACAAACTATCAACAGCTTTACATTATAACTGTCAGTAACTTCAATGCAAACAAGGGCAGGTTTAAAAAAAAACCAAAAAAAAAAACCAACATGCCTGTGGCCTGAGCTAATCTGTAAACAAATAAATTAAGATTTTTTCCACTAAAATTGAAAAGCTTCAAAAATCCCTTCGATATCAGGCATTAATACTGATGATACATGTGTAGAGGTGATCCGTCTCAAGTTCTTCTACTCAGTGGTTTCTGTTGGATTTTCTTGAATCAGTTTTTTCGTGCAGCACTGTCTGTGTTTTGTTTTTTTTACCTGATGTGTGGAGGTTTCAACAAACTCTGAAACTCTGGTGTTCCGCTCAGCGGGAGAATTTCCGAGGTCTGTACGGAGGCGGGGCGAGCTGATGTGACGTCGTCCTCTCCTCCTCGATTGGGGCCAGGTCCTCTGCAGAACCCCACTTCTTCTTGGAGTGAAACAGTGACACCAACTTCCTGTTCCTGTGCCGCTCCCGGTTCCCTGTAGCTCCCTGAGGTACTTGGAGTTCTACGATGATATCAAACAAACAAAAAATGAAAATATTGTCAAATCTACCAAAATAAATATCTTAATTTTTAATTTTCTCTTTTAAAGAACCAATCCTGATTTAGTTGTTTTATTTACAGGAAATACATTGTAGGACAAAAGATGCTTCTTTTTGCTGATGATGTGTTTCTATTTACTTCAAATTTGTGCTGGAACAAATGAGCAGCAGGTGAAATGGAACAGAGGTGACATAAGATTATTTAGGATCTTATACTTAGTAACAAAACATGAGGATCAGGATGGTTTTTCAGCCACTGGGGGAGCTGTAGCCAATGCTAGCAGTCACTCAGTGAGGACCTCACACCAATGATCAGTTATGTATGAAAAACCGACCAAATATCAAAGCTCTCTGTTTTAAGACAAATGTACCAGGAGATCTGATCTTCTAATTGTAAGGCACGAACACTAACCGCTTCTCCACAGTGTGGCTAAGTATCACTTCTATTGATAATAGTTGAGCGGAGACACTCACGCAGCTCACTCTCCTCGTCTTGAACCTCAGCTTCTTTGTTGTTGAGATAATGGCCGGCCAGGTGACCACTGTAATCTCTGACATTTTCTTTGGCACCTGAGGGGAGGAGAAGGTCAATGTAAAGGACGAAAGAACTAGAAACAAAGTTGTGTAAACGCTTACGAAAAGCTAAAAGTCACGTTAAGAAAACTAACAACCTCAGCTAACAACGGTTCTGTGAGACAGCGTTGGAATTTTCTCACTCTGAATCAGGAAATAACTACACAACTGATGGATTATTGTTCTCCATATTTAAATTAAAAACAAACAACAAAAAAAACTTTTGCCATAATGATAGAAATTGGAGTTTTTTAAATCTAGGCTTTAACTCCTGAACCAAAAGTTGCTTTTATTGCAGCCGTCTCTTCTTCAAATGTTCAAATGACAGTAATTTGTACCATATGTTCCTATGAGCAGCTGCAGCATATTCTGGTGACCGTGTAGGGCGGCGATGTGCAGAGGTGTGTAACCCTGAGGAGCAGAACAGGAGCAAACCAGACCAACACGTTTTTAATATAATATTTAATTTAAAATCTTCATGACTCTATAACTGACATCTTTTTAACCAGGTTAAGTTCAAGTGTGTGTAACTGTGTCAAAGAACTGGAACTGGGTTTTCGTACTCACCCCCTTTTATTTTCCCACGTCCAAACGCGCAGCCAATGAAAACAAGACGTGAAAACAAAACAGGCAAATTAGCAAAGGTTATGGAAACAGCAGATAATGACACAAACATAATTGCCTGGTAATTCGCTGAAAATTGCACACTTTCGGGATTGTGCGTGCCGACACACGGACGCACTGTTTTGGGAAACAATTAAGGTGACGTGACATGATTTATTAGCCGAGCGCTGCTAGGAGTCAGACGGTGCAGCTGCATCTTCACACACAAGGTTTTCATGGCCTCGAATCGATGCGGCTAATTCTACTGTTCGCACCTGTCAGCACCGCTGCAGAACGACTGGATACTTACATGCTGTAGGAAAACAGAAGAATGGAGGAGAATTAGTGGGAGTGCACCTTTAACACATGGTCATTCCAATACAGCTGTCTGTAGAAGGGTTAGTTAGTACTGAACTAAATGACATGTTAGCTTATTGAAATATTCTGGTTCTTATTAGACCTCAGTGACTCGGTGTACAATAAATAAGATTTGATTTGTGGTCAACTACGCCATGTATTTGATGGACTAGTTGATCAACTAGTTAGCTGACAAAAAATGTAGGCAGGTAATTAATTATAACAAAAATGTGATTTAAATTGAAAACTGGTTGGAAAACGGATTATAACTAAAGGTAAAGTCAAATATTCTAAAAAGATTAAAATTGGAACTGGAGATTTAAACCAGTGTTTCCCAAACTTTTTTTTGTGGGGACACATATTTTCAAAGTCACAAACCTTCACGACCGAAGTCAAAAGACGTTATTCGTAAACTCCTGCTAAACATGATGTGAGGCGACCCAAAAAAAAAAAAAAAAAAAAAATCTCTTGCCCCCCCCCTGGGGGGCGCCACCCAGTTTTTTGAAAAAAAATTTAAGATAA